GATCAAAATTAAGTGCGGTAGCCTTTGTGTAGCTTTGCGCGAATACCTAAAACATACAAACAAAATATCCTATCCTATAAAAACACTAAATATGTATAAAGCTTATGGACCATAAAACTATCTTGTGTAAATATCAGAAAATTGACGAAGGTCCGTTGTCGTATATAAATATCAGAGAAGTTAAGATGGTCTAAATTATCCCAAGATGTAAGCACCTGCCTGTAGAAGTATAAACTGTTGTGATTTATCAGATAAGAAACGTCAGATTCTGAGAATAGAGATGTGGAAAATATCATTAGTGTATAACTTTGCCTCCAAGACGTTGGATGCTTTAATGTGTTTATGTTTTCGTGGGAGTTTCTGTACAATTTTTACTTGTACACAAGCTTCTGTTGTGCGTGGGAGTGATGAAGGCGAAAATATCAATGGGAAATTGTATTCTCTGCGGGACTGCTTTTCTTCAAATTCAAGACTATCACGGTTTTCTCATTTCATGTAGGTTTCTTTTGTTTGCTATGCAGCGAGAACTTTGAGAATGTTTAATATAGAAAAGAAATGTCAGTAATATTCAGTGTTTTCTCGATATATATATAAAACGAAAGAGATAAATAATTTTTACAAATTTTAAGAGTCAAACATCTTTAACACCTTAGTGAACAATAAGAATTCATCTAACGTGAAAGAAATGATTGAAGTAAACATTCGTTTATTATAGACATTTTACTTAAGACAAACTGAAATCATCGCTTTACTTATATGTTTATCATTCGTTATCAGGTTATATTGAATGTTATGTTATTCAGTGCCTTCATGTTGTTATTGAACTACAAGATACTAAACATTTAATAAATATAAACTAAATGTGTGAAATGGCGGGAACGTTAGTATTGTATTATAATATAGGTTGGATTGATTGTGTTTTAAACAGACACATTCAATAAGAAAATAGGACTCGTTTGTCAGGAACAGAATTTACTATAACAGAGATGGGTGTTTATTTTCTGCAACCACAATGAAGATGAAGTTGACTGTCATAGAATCACAATGATACACAGCAAATACAACGCTTTAAACTCTCAATGAAACAACCTCTAACTAGGATTACAATTTAAAAATCACTACATCTTGAGCTTCTTCTTCGCCGCTTTTTTGTTTCGTATGATATTACCCTTCACTAGAAACACGACTACCCCTTTCTTTGACAAAGTACAGACAATGCTTTGGCTCTTAATCCACGATTCACTGGCGATAAAGATTGTTGAAGGAAGGGAGAGCTGCTTCTTAGGAAAGTATGGTCGCCACCACTGGCTGGTATTTGGCATTTTAAACCAGAAACGGCCAATCATGTGTGGATTGAATACAATGGACAATGTTCACGCACTGCCATACTTAATTTAGAGCTACTGATTATTAGAAGGGCAACTAGTCAGCAGCACCCTCCGCCTACGACTACTATAAGCTGGGCTGTGGGATTGGATGTCACAGGTAAAACTTTCTTACAGTTTTAAGTGCAGAGCGTGTTCAGTGATATATGAAAACTCGAGCTATGAATATTTCAATCCGCAGCTAGGCAAGCTAAACTGCTAAGCGAATGTTAAGATTCTGTGAACTAGGATTTATTTATGATTCCTGGCTTTTACAATGAGAGAACGTTACACAAGGGTGAGAGGGAAAGGGGAGTTACTGCGATAAAAATATAATACTACAAAATGTAAAGAATGACACATCATGGTGAAGTGAGTTACTGTAATGTAAACATAGTGGTACACAGTGAAAATAAGTTGTTCTTTTTTGCTTTGTAAAGAGTGTCAAATACTAGAGAGGAGCTTACAGTGTTATAAATATAGTGGTATTCAATGAGAATAAGGTATATTTTATTTTATAAAGAGTGTCAAGTAATGGAGATGGGTTTATGGTGATATAAAGAAATTGATAGGTAATGCAAATATTGTTCATTTTACTACGTAAAGAGAATCAGTTAATGCAGAGGGGGTTTATGGTGACATAAAGAAAGTGATAGGTAATGCAAATATTGTTCATTTTACTACGTAAAGAGTATCAATTAATGGAGAGGGGGCTTACGGTGACATAAATATAGTGGTACACAATAGAAATAATGCATATTTTTACTGGGTAATCGTTTGTGTTTGAGAAAAGCCACATTTGGCTACCTGCTCTGTCCATCGAGGGGAATCGAACCCCGGATTTTAGCGTTGTAAGTCAGTAGGCTTACCGCTGTCCCACAGGGGAATATTTAATGGGCAATGAGTGGCGCATAATGGTGATATTGCTTACCGTGATACGAGCATAGTGGCACACAATGGAAATATGGTTTCTTATCTAATTTGTAAAGAGTGACATCTAAGGCGGACAGGATTCACTGTCATATAAACATAGTAGAATGTCACGTGATGTAGAGGTGGTTTACTGTAATAAAAAGATAATGGTAAACAGCGGAAATAAGGTTTATTTTATGGGTGAAAGAGTTTCTCATGATAGATATGGATTTATTGTGATATAAACATATTGTTACACATTTGAAATAAGGTGTATTATACTGGACAAGATGGAGAGGGAGCTGCTGTAATGTAAACATTGGAACATATATTAGAAATAACGTCTATTCTACTGTCTAAAGCAGTAGTTCCCAAACTTTCTCAAGTGCTAGAACCATTTTAAATATATCTATATATATTCTGCCATTCTGTTGAAAACTATTCTTCACGGAACATCATAAAAAGTATGATTCATGCAAGACTATAAAGAGAGAATACTTACTTCTGTCAGTGCAGTTCTATATAAACTGTATCAGTCAATGCTGATTTTGTTCCCTCAAAGAACCCTGGGGTACCACGAAACACAGTTTGGGAACCACTGGTCTAAAGAGTGAAACAATGATAAATAGGTGTAAACATTGTGGTACACAAGGGATTTTACGATTTTTCTTACAGTGAAAAGTGTAGCACATAGTAGTGACGGGGTTTACAATAGACATACAGTGGTAAGTGGTGAAATTAAGGTTTATGTAATTGTGTATAAAGTGTTACTTGATGGAAAAGGGGACATTATGGTGATATAAACATAGCTGTACATAATTTAGATACCCAGATTTAATGACCACTCCCATGCAGGATATTAAATAACCACGTTGAATCATCAGGTTCAGATACTCAGGTTTACTTTTCACTTTCTGATAAGTTCACTGCCTCTTAGTGATCTGGTTGAAACGTCAACATCAGAATATCAATTTTAGTTTGTATTCCACTTGATTTTCTGCTAAGTTTACTGCCTCTTAGTAATCTGGTTGAAACATTCACCCCAGGAGTTCAGGTTCACTCATCAACCAACTTATCTCTCTTTAATAAAATGATTTAAACATTGCCCTCAGAAGATCAGTCTTACTTATCACTCCATTACCTTTTCTTTGTAGCATGAGTGAAACTTTCACTCCGAAGATCAGTTTTTATTTGTCACTCCAGTTGTCTTTTTTTAATAACACAGCTGAAACTTTAACTTCAAAAATAGTTTACCTATTACTTCTCTGACTCTTCTCAATCACACCGGGAAACCATAAGTTTAGTAGATCGTTTTTACTTTTCATTCCCTCTTTTTAGTAACCTGTCGTTAACTTCAGAATATGTTTTACTTATCACTCCGCTGGTTCATCATCGTAACCTGGCTGAAACATTAATTTCAGAAGATCAGTTTTTACATATCACTCTAATTGTCTTTTATTCGTATCCTGGCTGAAACATAAACATTAGACAATCAGTTACAGTTAACAATTCACTTGTCTCTATTAGTGATCTAACTAAAATATCTAGTCAAAAGATTAGATTTACATATCATACTCCTTACCTGGTCTCAGTAACCTGACTGAAACATCAACTTCAGAAGATCAGATTTATTTATAATTCCCCTGTGTCTTCTTAGTGAACTGGCTTAAACACCTATAGACCTTTCCAGAATTATGTCATGGCATCAGTATGGTGTGAGAAAAACTTGGCAACCTTCGCACTTTCCTGTATCAAAAATAATCTGTTGACTTTGTAATTAAATACGTGTAAAAGTATCATACTATTTATTAATTATTGAAACTAATTTATACGTGCTGTAATGAGTAATGTATGCAATTGTAATGGTATAGATTAGGCCAGGGTCGGTCAGACACCACTGTGTCGTAAACTGACAGGTAATATCACAATGAGTAATTACTGCTAATACTTGATACTGGTAACAAGTTTCATGCTCATAGAAGTGAATATGGGAGATACAAATGTAGAAGCTACAAAAGAAACTCAGTAACAAAGACACCAGTCACACCCTCTTTTACTTGCACGTCTGACACTCAGCCTGCTTAGGAGAATTTAAAAGTATCTAAGCTTTTATAGCATTTCAAACTTTCGCGGGTCAAGGTAGTGGTGGAATCAGCAAAATAAGAATAAATATCATTGGTGGAATCAGCAAAATAAGCATAAATATCATTGGTGGAATCGGCAAAATAAGCATAAGTATCATTGGTGGAATCAGCAAAATAAGCATAAGTATCATTGGTGGAATCAGCAAGATATGAATAAATATCATAATATCTTGGATCTGATCATGTTTGAACTTCGCATTGTTGAAACACTGACCTCAGAATATCAGTTTTGCTTCTATATCTAACTACCTCTTGTTAATAACCTGACCGAAACAATAACATTAGAAGGTCTGTTTTACTTATCATATACTTGCGTATTCTCAATAACTTGCCCGAAACAATAAAATTAGATGGTCTGTTTTATTTATCATACACTTGCGTGTTCTCAATAACTTGACCGAAACAATAACATTAGATTGTCTGTTTTACTTATCATACACTTGCGTCTTCTTAATAACTTGACCGAAACATTTAGTCAGTTCAAGTATTGAGAATTCTATATCTTGTTTTTGTACCAAGTTGATAAATGTTTACTGTGCCTGTGTTTAAATTTCAGAACACTGTTTGACGTTTTTAATAGATTTCAAGCTTATGGCGACCATTGCTAGTGGAATCTAACACGACATCAGTTTAGTTTAACATGTCAGAAAGTCCTGAACCAGGAGATCCTGAACAGGAACCAAGTAAAGATGAAAATTCTGATGATTATCAAAAACTTACAGCGCCATCTAGTGATCACCCAAGAAGCATTCCGACAGTAAACGGAAAAAATGTTTCAAATGGCAAGGATAAAAAGCATTTTAAAAAGTATTTTCCGACAGACGAAGGCTACTGCTCGTCATCTAGCACTCCTAAGTCCTCAGGTAACTATTTTTTAAAATGTATGTAGCGGTTTAGACTGACTTTATTCATAGATAATTGATGTAAAACTATTATTACAATGCATATTAATATAAACAAATATATATTTGTGCACAGTTACATAAATTTAACAACAACCACCAAAGACACCAAAACAAAGAAAAAACAAATAAGTCGTGAGATTTATTATTTGAAGTTTCTGCACAAGGGAGACCTCCACACTTTTTCTAATACACCGTCTATCGTACTCAAAGCCTTCTATACTTCGTAAAATCAAAATAGATTTGATATTTAAAATTTGGTGTCGATACTCCAGCCCATAATGCCTGCCCTTAGCCTAGCCACCTTGCACTGTAGGCAGGTAGTGCTCAAAATAGAAATACAGAGAAGGTTTTTAATGGTTGAGTTGATAAGATATCCCATGAGCCTCCGTTATATATAACAAATTAATCTAGAATGTAAAAAAAAACAAACAAACATGGACGCTTAAAAGTATATTCAAACACTATTATATACAGGGTATTAATTAGTAGAACCCTACCATTTGCTTTAACAGTTCGTTTTTAACAACAATATTCTAAATAAAGGTGCGAGTGAGCTAATGAGTTGTGTAAGTAAATTAATCAATTCAACCATTCGTAAACTATTCATACAATATGCAATAAAACTCTTGTGTAAGTCAAGTTTGGAAAACAATGCGGAACTGTAGTTAACAAATGAATACTTCTGTATAAGGTGAGATTGACCGAAACGTGTCGTCCGCTATGGATATAGTGAATATAGTGTGGTTGGAACACTAATATCATATAATCTTCTAATTGTTGAAAATTCACAAGGGACTAAATATAGAATGCAATGTTAAAAATATAATAGGCCTAATACCAATGCCTTATGACAAGTATAGTTAATTATAATCATGCTTTGCCATCTTTATAAAGGCGTTTATACCATAACAAAACATGATTTATTTACATCAGTTTATTTCAAGATTGTTTAAACTATTTGGGCAAAGAGGGACTCAGTTCTCTGAACACCACAGGACTGGAAAATTTCTTATTTTGTAAATTTCCCAAATATCTACCAAATAATAATAATAAGAAGAAACTATTTGTATCATTTTTACCTTTTTCTTTTTTCAGTTTAATACATCTGTTATACCCTAATTCTCTGAGATATACATGTTACAAAACTGATAACTTCCATTAAACGAGAAGAATAAAATCATAATGTAAATATAAGCAGTTACATTAGCAGAAACGCAGTTTAAAGTTGTGCGTAATAGTAAAAATAATTATTCTGAGTACAGTTTTATTATTTTATATTTCCAATTCGATGGTAGCAATATAATCTTTAATACTTTGGTAAATTAGGCTAACTATATAATCAATGTATTAAAGTAAATAAATTTGAGATTAATATATTTTCTTTTAATTTGTTTGTTTTAAAATGATCGAAATATTTACTATGTATGGTGAGAAAGAAATGAACTACTTTCTTGTGTTAAATAGGAAAGAAGTTGCACATGTGGTTTTATAACCCAGAAGAGGTTATTGTGTTAAATACATACTTTTATAATAACAAGGTGAAAGCTTCTTTCGAACAAATATTTTGAATGAAATAATAATTTCCGATTAGAAGTACACGATGACTGAAATGAAATTTATACCAGCTAGGTCGGGCGTGGCCAATAAGTAACTATGCCCAAAGGCAGATTAATAAATCCACAGTTCGAGCCGCAGTATGTCGCATAAAATTCTCTCCACTTGCAGTTTTGAGAACTTTATAATTATACACAACAGTAATCCCGCTAGTTAACTTTGGGGACTTACAAGTATACACAACAGTAATCCCGCTAGTTAACTTTGGGGACTTACAAGTATACACAACAGTAATCCCGCTAGTTAACTTTGGGGACTTACAAGTATACACAACAGTAATCCCGCTATTCAACTTTGGGGACTTACGAGTATACACAACAGTAATCCCGCTAGTTAACTTTGGGGACTTACAAGTATACACAACAGTAATCCCGCTAGTTAACTTTGGGGACTTACAAGTATACTCAACAGTAACCCCGCTATTCAACTTTGGGGACTTACAAGTATACACAACAGTAATCCCGCTAGTTAACTTCGGGGACTTACAAGTATACACAACAGTAACCCCGCTATTCAACTTTGGGGACTTACAAGTATACATAACAGTAACCCCGCTATTCAACTTTGGGGACTTACAAATATACACAACAGTAACCCCCGCTATTTAACTTCGGGGATGTTATAATTATATAGTCAATCCCACTATTCAACTCTGGGGACTTACAAGTATACACAACAGTAACCCCGCTATTCAACTTCGAAGACTTACAAGTATACACAACAGTAACCCCGCTAATCAACTTTGGGGATTTTATAACTATACACGACAGTCAATCCCGCTATTCGATAAGAGTAGCGGCGGTAGTGCTGACTGGATGTCTTTCTTTTGGACAGTAGTTCTAAATGAGGGCTGGCTACGCCTGAACTTTAGGGTTATCGGATATGACCCTCTAGCCTGTGTGCCTTTTATATGTTACGAATTTCACGTTGTGTTATTGGGATCGTAGTTACTCCAAAAGTCTCTATTTGATTTATTCCACTGATTCATATTACCGTTTTAGACATTAATCAAATACCATTCACATCCGGGTGTGGAGAAAGAACCTTAGTTGGATCTAATCACTGACACTGTTTCAGCTCCTCTAGCTCAAGAGAGCACCACGGACGTTCTAACGGCGAAACTGCCAGACCTGACCGACGGGACTTTGGCCGTTAGCCTAACTGAAGACGCTCTTACTAAGGAAGAGAAAGACAATCGGCCAACGTGGGGAAAAAAAGCAGATTTTTTGTTATCCATTATAGGATTCGCCGTGGACTTGGCGAACATCTGGCGTTTTCCGTATCTTTGTTATAAGAATGGAGGAGGTAAGCTGGCTAACACACAGTATAACTATTTCATATGATTTACTGCCATTAATTAGTTTAAACCTCTTCAGAAGAAGAATTGAATATTTCTTTGATCTTAAAAACTATCTAAAAAGTATTCCCTCTCTTTTTTAATTTAGCGAACATTATTCCCAAGTTTTTCAAAGTTCTACACCTTAGAAATAATTATAGTAATTACTGAGGTTCAATGTTACTGTTCAGCTTAGAAGTTATTATCTTAACTACTGAGGTTCTATGTTGTTCTACAGCTTAGACGTTATTATCTTAACTACTGAGGTTCTATGCTACTCTACAGCTTAGAAGTTATTATCTTAACTACTGAGGTTCTATGTTACTCTACAACTTAGACGTTATTATCTTAACTACTGAGGTTCTATGTTACTGTTCAGCTTAGAAGTTATTATCTTAACTACTGAGGTTCTATGTTGCTCTACAGCTTAGAAGTTATTATCTTAACTACTGAGGTTCTATGTTATTCTGCAGCATGGATATAATAAACATGAAGTAATTGTTGTGGTTTTTATTTTACTCTGTATCGCGCCGGTAATTAATGTGAAATGTCAATTAAGGTTCTAGTTTTGTTTTTATTATCTAAACGACTGTCCTATTGAACATGTACTTTAATAATGTTCTTCAGCACAATCAAGAAAATATGTAGCCAAATACAGCACCATAACATATTCTATAAAAAGTTCCATTATTATTGGTAAACGTGTATTTTAGTAGAATTGTAATTTTATCTTTGATTAAAGTGATGGTGTTATAGAGTAAGATCTTGTTTTTATCTACCTCTAGGCGTCTTTCTCATCCCGTATAGTTTGATGCTTGTGTTTGGAGCGCTGCCATTGTTGTACATGGAATTAGTTCTTGGTCAATACAACAGGCTCGGGCCTATCAGTGTCTGGAAAATATGTCCGCTTTTTAAAGGTAGGTATTTTATCCATAAATATACTTTCTCAGTACAAAGGCACTCCATTCTTCAAGATATGTAAGTAATGTAGATAGACGCTTCATCTTTGAAGATAGTTATATACATTCTAAAATGAACTGCTAGTCTGCTAATTAGGGTTATCCAGCGTTTCTATCAACAGCTGAAGGTCACGACGAACATTGAAGAAAACAGGATCTTCATTTTCTGTCTAACATCTGCATCAAAACAAAATTAGTTGTTTTTTGTTGTTGTATGATACGACTTTATCTACAGGGTTTTCGAGCTAAGAGTGGACACATTAACTTAACAGTTTAAAAGAACAGCTGTCATTCAAAATGAATAGAGTGTTCAAATGGCTTGAGGTTACATTACTTTGTTTGGTCACAACATCTGAATACAGCTGTCGACTTAATGGTGTAAAGTAATTACGAAATAAACCAATTAACAAACTTTCAAAGGTCCATTACGTCACTTCCTCCAAGAGCATAAGAGATTTCAACACGGTCAAGACAAGATGGCTCCTTTCTGATGAAATGGATAAATTTATTGCTATATTAATTTCAATTTCATCGCTTTCTGTCTTCTTTTTTAACAACTCAAAACTATCACATTTTTTTTCCAGGTTAGGCATAAATTTTTCTATGGTAATCTAAGTTTTCTGCATCTCATAGGCTCAGGATCAAACCCAGGACCTCTTGAACGCTGGGCACGTGCTTCACTTACTTAGCTCAAGAGTTAACCCACTAGTCAAAACCTCTATATTATGACAAGTTAATGAGATGTTAACCCACTAGTCAAAAACTCAAACTACCAATTTATTATGAAAAGTTAATGAAAGGATATCCCACTAGTCAAAAACCCGTTCTACCAACCAACTTATTATTACAACTTAATGAGAGGTTAACTTACTAGTAAAAAGCTCGAATTAATAGCTTATTATGACAAGTTAATGTAAGGTTAACCCACTAGCAAAAAACTTTTATTATCGACATATTATGACATGTTAATGAGAGGTTAACCTACTAGTCAAAAACTTGCACTACAACCTTGTAATATACAAGTTAATGAAAGGTTAACCCACTAGTCAAAAACCCGATCTACAAACCAACGTATTATGAGAAGTAAATGATAGGTTAATTTACCAGTCAAAAAACCGAACTACTAACTTATTATTAAAAATTAGTGAAAAATTAATCTACTAATCAAACATTCGAGCTACCAACTTATGACAAATTAATGAGAGTTTAACCCACTAGTCAAAAACTCGAACTACCTACTTGTTATGATAAATTAATGACAGATTAACTGACCAATCAAAAACTCGAACTACAACCTTGTTATGTACAAGTCAGTGAAAGCTGTTTAAATATGGATTGGTTTAAATTTCGCTAGCCGTCCCTGATTTAGCAGTGAAAGACTAAAGGGAAGGCAGCTATTCATCA